TACTCAGGACGCTTCAAGTATCACTCTTGGCGCTCTCGAAGCAGTCATGTTCCTTGAACTGGATAGAAGGTATTCTCCTAATAATGCGACACGACAGAAGAACTGGAAGATCCGGTAGCATAGGTGATCTAACTGAAAGAAATCAACTCAGTCAAAGTAAACTATTCAACCACGAAGTAGCTGTGAGTTTTACCGTTGTGCTCTCGCATCTAGTCGTCCTTGGCTGTATGCCGATCTCAAGTTGCCGAATAAATTGCCACCAATGAAAGTGTCAATTTCAGTAGACGAATTACCACTACCTGGCTACTTGGAACAAACTGTGGCCTATGTTCTACGCAATGCGCTTGCGATGTGCTCCAAATTCAGACCCAAATATCCCTTCCTCACGCCGGAGCGTTCAGCTCTCATTTACATGGCCCTCCAATTGAAGGGTGAGTCAGGTTGACGGTCACGCACTTTTCTTCCATTGCTGAATAAATCATACTGGCATAAAATGATCAGTCGTGAATTTTTTATGAAATGCAAAACTAAATTAGAGTTTGGAATAGAGCCGGAGGTGATCTTTGTGAGCACCGCGAGTGTGACTGGTTGGAGTAGAGCTGAGATAACCTTGAGCCGCACCAGTCAATCCAATCAGATTACGACGAGTAAAAATGCATTATGCAGCGGAATAATCGTTGAGGTTCAGCTGCATTTTGTTTACATTATACAAATGGCTTTCAAATATGATCACTGCGATTAAATTTGACTCATCGCCGACTACTGCAGTTTTACCCAATTTTTGTAAATAAGGCCTGTGTTATATGGCCATCCTTAGTCATTCATTAGGTTGCCATAGTATTTGCCACTTGATACGTGATCAGCTTTTTTATGCAAATGTTATCCATTCGTTATATCACGCTAAATTCTACACTCACTGATGCAAAATCCCCACACGGGTAGCGCATGAATGAGGAGCCAAATAACCCGCTGAAACCTGATCTCGCTTCATAGCACAGGGCCACTGGTAGTGAACTTATTACAGGCAGACACGGCTCCAGCCCTTCCATGCTGTGCTTCTACAACTTTAACCATCCGCAGAAAATATCCACCCGTGGGTAAAAAGCCAAAAGAATACTAATTAGAGCTTCCATCACTTTAGTTACCCAGTCACCTATGAAGAGGTATGAAATTAGGAGAAAGTAGAACATCATGAAACAGCAACTGCGAATACCTTCCGACTACAGTATGGTTTCTGCTTTATTATGCAACTGAAGTTCATCTATTTGACCTCAGCATTGAACCCACGCACCCCGGACTACCTTCGATTTCGAGCAAGAAGTCGCGTTGAACGCTTCGAACGGGCATGTCAACTGATCGATCAGTTGACAACAATCATGCCTGTGGACTACCTGGCCGAGTGCCAGAGATCGGAGACACTGTCCAGGCAACTGCACGAATTCCTTTCCCTCCAGGGTCAGTCGGACAATGAGGACAGATGGGTATATTCCATTTGAGGTGAAGTAGGCGGAGAAAAGTAAAACAA